CAAAAAAATCAATTGAGTGAATTGGCAGAAAATATTTTGATTACATATACTTTGCTCAGCAAAAAATATTCACTTAACAAAAAATTAATGCATCATCAGGTATCACAAAATTGTGCATAGAATGTCATAGATAGAATTGTGCACCAGGTATCATAGAATGAAATGTAATTAACCTAATCTATGATTTATTTCTCCAAAAATATGATAGTAGTTGTCACTAAAATATTTATTTCTGTTTCAGGTATGTTTTCATGATTTTTTTTTTTTTGTCATAGTGAATTAGCTTGACTCAATTAAAATTGTGTGAAATTACAAGCCATGCTGTAAGTTTACAGATACAGAAGAAATGCTATACAGCTGCTGATGGTGAAGCTTGCAGTGAACAAGGTTGTTGTAAGTGCTCAATTGCATGTTCATGGATGTGGTAATACCACATCAATATAAAATCAATATGAAATTAATAACAGGAAAACAAGTAAAATCACACAAAAAGAACACCAACATTAAAGAAAATTATGGGACACAAAAAAGAACACCAGTTGACAGCAGTCCACTGTTTGCAACTATGATATATATACCTTCTGTTTTACAACACAAGATTTTCTGTCAATTTTTCAGTCACAAGATGTATTACCTCTCATCTAATGCAGGATCAAACTGCATGGTTGAAAATATTATTGAAAATTTATTACTTTGGAGCTGCAAGATTTTGTGTTGCTTTGGACATTTAGTACTAAATACAAAAATTTTAATCTTGATGTCCAGGATATTAGTTGCCACTTGGCAGGTCCTACATTTGACTTGCCACTCATAAAAAAATTTATTGTAACTGGTCAAAACTATGATTTGTATGGTTTTTAGAAGTGCAGAATAACTAAAATTGGTTTGATCTTGCTAACAAGTTGTGCTGCAATTTTGTCTTAAAATAGACTATTTTTAGTGAAGGTTATTAACATGACAACTGTGACCTTGTGTGTCATTAAGAAGTAATTTTTACCTGTTAAATTTACATGAGCCATGAGCCTTTGTCATCTATAGTGCTGACTGTAAAAAAAATTCTACTAGTTTTTGGTTTTCACCTTTAAAAAATGGACACTCTATTTCAAAATTTTAAGCAAAACATGTGCACATCAATATATACATATACTGAGCGTTCTAAAAATGTTTCAGGCTATATATAGCTATTTATTCTTAACTTGTGAGCAAAATTATCCAAAGGCAGGGGCAGGGTGGCCCAGTGGTTACAGTTCAGAGTACCAAGATTGGCGCAGAGAGGTGTGGGTTTGATCCCAGCTCTGTGCGCCAGTTTCTGGTCAGAATAGGCAAGGAGGCCGGGCGGTTAAGCACAGCAGAATTGTAGCAGTGAGTCGCAAGTTCGAGACCACAACAAGCTGTGAATGTTCTGCGATATTAAGAATCGGCAACAGGCCTATGGCCTAATAAATGTTAAAACTGCTATAAAGTAGAAAACAATTGTTTTATGTCTTATTGAGCAGCTACATTGTGGAAAAAATATTTACTTTGGTGTGAAGTTAATATATGAAAATGGTGTTTTGTTGCTGCTTTGCTAGTCAGGGCTGTTGAACATGACAGTGACCTGCTGCTGCAGTAATGTATGCAGCAATGCATGACTTGCTGCAGTAATGTATGCAGCAATGTATGACTTGCTGCAGTAATGTATGCAGCAATACATGACTTGCTGCAGTAATGTATGCAGCAATACATGACTTGCTGCAGTAATGTATGCAGCAATACATGACTTGCTGCAGTAATGTATGCAGTAATGCATAATTGCATTAATGTATGCAGCAATACATTATTGTACATGCATGTCTTCTCAACATCATGTAAAAGCACATGGCTGGCTGCATACATTATTATACATGCATTGCTTGTTTTGCACAGTTATGCCTTCAAAGACTGCACAATATATTATGACTGTTCGGTGTTGACGGTAGGGATGCTAGATTCTCAGTTCAGGGAGGGCAAGTTCATTTATTTCTGTTTGGCATGAGCTTCATACTCTCAATAACTATATTAACCTTATGCATGTGACACAGTTGAGGAATTTCAAGATCTTCTTCATTGATCACTCTAAGTCATCCAGTGATAAGTTATATTTTTGTGATGCTCTATTTTTTGTCATTCATTTTTATTGAAGCTATCCAACTCAAACTACAGTGTTTTCTATGTAAATTAGTGTTGGTTACCATAAAATGGTGGGGGACTTGAAGCATTGACTGGGTTCCTTGTACCATACCATATTTAAAATGCACTTTCTTTCACTACCCACTCCTATATAGAACCTAATAGTGAGTGGTTAATTTAAAAAGTGAAATAAAAATATATGCTCTCGGATGAAGACACTTGAAAAGAATCGCTATTATCCCTTCAAATCTGACCCAGATAATTAGTTAGTTTGACATTGAACAGTGTTATTTTATGACTCACCTGCAGCCATGAAAACGAATCGTGAACGATCCAACGCGACGCGGTAGCATCTCCTCGCCTCGCTCTGCGTTCAAACGCTGCACGGATTCTCTTTACCATAATTTGATCACGTATGCATAAGGAATGCGCTTCGAGCTCCCATGGTTGCTCAATAGTCTGACGACATCAGCAAGTTTGCGTTAGCTCTGTGACTTGCCATCGCAACACTGGAGGTGCGTCTCAATGAGAAAGTCTAGGCTTGCGTCATTGCGTTGCCGGGAACGGTAGCGTCTGCATGTAACCGATCACTATTTATATCACGACGTGGGGAAGATGAATATGGGATTATAATCTTGGCAGATAAATTTTCTCAATCCTTTAATTCATAATAATTAATTTCATTAATATATATTTAATAAGTTTGAATTAAATTGTTCGAACAGGAACTCTTTTCTTCTACGCAAGCTTGTAGACAATGCATTCCTGTCTATGCATTCATTTTGATTCTATTTCTTTTATATGCTTCTTACGAAGAAAACCTGCGTTAAAGCACGTTTCTCAAATATAAGAACCGCGTCTCGTTGGCGTACAAATAAGAGTTTTATGCAAGTTTGATTGTAGACCAGAGCACGCATTTTATTAATAATATTTTTTTTCGTTTTTTCAATGAGTCGAACAAAATTTCTTGCTGGCTCAAAAGAAGATAAAAAAGCAGGTTTCCAAATGACGTTTTAATAAATTGTGACGTTTCGAAACTTTTGTTCGACTCGTTGAAAAAACGAACAAGACGATTATTAATAAAAAGTATGCTTTGGTCTTCAATCAAAACTTGCATAAAAGTAAAGCTTCTGTCGAACTACACCAAAATAAGAGTTTAGGTACTTATGGTGTCTTTTATTTATGTTAACTTTCTATTGAACTGTTCATCACGATTAGCAGTTTTATTTTTCGCCATGCCAATCAAATTTTGTTTGAGTATCAAATCAAATAATCATCCAATAATATTCGAATAAAATAAGGTTTCGTTTGCTAAGACAGACAAATAATGACCATTCAATTATTAAGCTGTTCCTTTAAAATTTAGTTTTGACCCCGCAATATGGAATTGAATTTCTAATTTTTTCAATCTCTTTTATTGGTCGAGGAAATTTTTTCCATTCGATCAACGTTGTATACAATGGAAGCCTGAGAACGGAAAATTTACCCTGTTCGAAAGTACAACTACATGTGGTTACTCTTTTTAACCTTCAATTAGTCATTTTGCCGCGATTACTGTACGTAACTCTTCAAACGTAAGAGGCATGTTGGTATGATTTGCTCGTGTATTAAGAAGACACGGCAACAATTCTCAGGGCCTTGTCCCTGTTGAGCTCACGTCTAAAGTTATTGGAGTCGCGGCTTTTGCCCAAAATAAAGATTACGATGGAGCCTCGAGATCGCGCGCTGCAGTGATCACCTCAGCAGCAAAACCGTTCCCTCCTCTGGTCTGAAAGAACCGTTCTCCCTCTTGTGAGCGAAAAAGTCGTATCCTATATTAGGCCACAAATGCCGTACCCTGTTCTGGGCTTAATGGGCAATTTTTCCTCTTCTGTGTGATAAAATAATACCCTTTTCATGACAGCATAGACCGTACCCTTTGGACTGCAAATCATTATCCTCTTTTAGTTGATAAAGATCGCACTCTTTTGGGATTCCCAGCGTGATATTGCGATGAATTCTTCTGTTAATCTTGTTATTACTCACAGAAGTACTCCAGGAGTACAAGTAGCTGTTGTTATCTAACTTTTTAGTTTGTATCAGTATTAAAAGTTAATCCGATGCTGTAAACGAGGTTGCATGAAGTCTGAATTGATAAATCAATCAAAGATATGATTATAAAGTTGCTGCTCAATTGCCGTGACGATGCCGCATTTTCAATTGCGTTTATTCCAAATGCAGATTAAGAACAAATTATTAGCAAGTGTAATACTAAGTATTTTGCTGTTAACATTGATAAATTTGCTGGTTACGTGCTGCACGCACGTGGCCAGCGTGACGGCCGTGGTGTCGTGGCCGTGTCCTATGGTCATGACTCCACTCGTTGCCGTGAAGTTTATACCATCAAGTGGTTGAAATTTTGTATTCCGTCCACATTACATTGCGTATTGTACCGTTAACGCTTCTTGGGTATGACATCGTTACACGGGTCGCTTGTATTTTACACGATAAAAAAATTATTTTATTTATTCTGCTCTTCTGAAATTTTCAATTTTATTATATCTAGGTGCTGACACTGCTTTCTATTTATCCTACAAAACATCCAGAAAAATTAACGCTCCTGTCACAATGTCATGTTTTAAGGTACGCTTTTGCTGAGAAGTTTTATCACTATAGAATTGCGTGCTCGGAGTTTGTTTTGAAGACTCATTCAGGACTGACGTGCGCTATACAGCCAATCAGGCAAGCTATGTACAGCCAATTAGGCTTGCGAATTTCTTATAAACTCTTAGCCGATAAGCACGCGTTGCGTCACCAGTCAGATCCCCGCATTGCGGTCACGAGGGGGAGCGCAAATCTTTGTCACTATTTTTTTGTATTTATTTCATTTATTAATTTTTTGGTAAAGCTAAATAATCTTTAGGTTTGTTATTATTCGGCTGAAACTCATACCGATCCATGAACCGTGTAGCCCAGAAATGTACTGTATAGACTATAGGGCATGTCGTGCGAAGTAAGGCACCCGCGGTAGCAGCACCTGTGAGTCACCACCTGCGTGGTCGCCTCCTCCGTCAGTGCCAAGACGCCTCAGGAGCGCCACTGCCTGCTCGCCTCAGTCGACCATGAGTCACCGCGCTTGTGATACCCGAGCTGCTCCTGGACCTCTTGTGTCTGTCCTGAGTGTGTTGTTGATGGCAGCTCTTGTGTCGCTACGTCCTGTGCTTCATGTGGTGACGGTGTTACAATTGTACTGTCGCCTATTGTAGTCTATGTGTGTGAATCATCTTGTTTCATGAATATTCAAACGGAAATATGATTGATGGCGTTAAAAAAGTGGACATGCATGGGACTAGAGACTGATTGAGACCATCTTCCTTCGTACCAAAACTACCAATTGATTAAGCCGCAGAGAATTTGGACCTACCATGAGGTCAATAATATGAACTCATGGCCTTACTGGACTGACACACGATCTTGTGCGAAGAATACCCAAATCGACCAAGAAGGTAGCTCACGACCGAACAATTCTTGGTGGTACGGCAATCTTTCTGCTCCAGCATCTTCTGTTCAGCCTGCTTACCATCCAGCTGTTGGTAGCTACTCAGGACGAGCAGTACATGGCCATCACCACGACGCTAGGTACCAGCCTTACCAACGTTCTCATTACGACCATCAATCCTACGTAGCTGGGTCGCAACAAACCAGCTGGTACGAGACCCCTGCTCACCTTTTAGAATACCCTTCTGGCGTTACCTTTGCCCAACAACAAGAGCCCCAGCAACAAGCTTACCAAGCTCTGTACCAGCCGTGGCCGCCTCACTACAGGGCCTCGCATGCCGCTCAGCCTCCAGCGCCGCCCTACAATCATGCTGCTATCCAGGCTCAGCAGGTAGCTTGCGTGTCCTTGATGGTCCATAGACTTTGTTGCGTCAACGGAGAGGCTCAAAGTAACTATCCATTTTCTCGTTGAATATTTTGAAACGTTTGCGAGATGTGAAGTTTGTTTTTCAGAGCGTCTGGAACTGTTTAAAAATTAGGTTTTATGCAGCTGATGCTGATTTTGTGTGTGAAATCCTCGTTTGATAGTAGTTTCATTCGTGTCACTTTTTTCCTGTATGTTTTGTGAGCTCAATGCATTAGTTATTATTATTGTTGATATATAATGATGAGCCGAGTGCGTGGCGGCGGCGGCGTGGTGGTGGGCGAGTCGTAGACCTGCATTGTTGCGAGTGACGTAAGCGTGCCAAGTATAGCGCGGGGATGCCGTCTCTGACTCATACCGAGCACAGGCAGGGACAGGCAGGTGTTGGCTGGACGCGAACGCCTTACATGGTTCTTGCGGGTACATCAGCGTACCCGACCAACTGCTTCTTGCGCTCCTGCCGCTATATATATGTATCATACTTAGCTTCTGGTTGCTGCTTGGCTTGATTTTCATCCAAGCTGCGACTGAGGGTAACTCATCTCAGACTGAGCTTTAATAACTCAGATTAATTAGATAGGGTTGAAGTGAAGCGGAAATTCACATCCAGTTCGGAATGGAGCAGAAAATAAATTTGATCTTCCTCTGTTTTATGTTCTTCACTTGTTTCGCAAATCTTTGTTGATGTAACATACAGGTATAAAGGATATTGTTAGTCAGCACCTTTATTGCCTTTTAGTCGGACATCTTTTTGTCCGACGAGACTGGTTGTACCTTGATTCCCATTACATGAAGCCTATATACTACTATCGCTTTGTTCGATTTGGCCTTCAGTGCACTCGCTGTCCCAAGTTCTCCTACGTTTGAGAATTGGTTTTGACGAATAGCTCATTTATTAACGCGTTTATGCCATACGTGAGGCAGAAGTTATAAGCCCTTACTCCAGCTGAAACCTTATTGTGGAGTAGTGGCCCACAGACCAGCGTTAGAGGCACAGGTGTCTTGCTCTACAGGTGTGTTCTGCGCCGACCTGTTGGACACGTTGTTCTGTGTTCTGCGCCGACTTGTTGTTGGACAGGCCAGCCTTCTGTGCCAACTACTATCACTTTCTCGCAAGCAAATCAGTTGAACGTTTTGTGATCATGTCTGCTGCCAATCAGTTCTAAACATGCCCATTGCCCACGCTTGCGTTATACTAATTCCGATAAAATTAATCCATCACTAGGTTAGGCAGCTGTAAAGCGAACTAAAAATTCCAATGTGCTTCTCTGTGATCATTTCTTAAGACGCGTCTTGCTCTGCGTTAGCTTCTCTGCTGTCAAATCGTTTGCTAGTTGCGCCGTTAGCGTGAACAGGCTTCTGTTTTCCCTATCACTTGTTCCACAGGCTTCTGTTTTCCCGATGTCCTCTCACTGGATTATTGTGACGCTTGTATTTGCTCACCTTCAGTACTATGGGATTTTGTGTATTGTTCCCAAGTGTCTTGCAGCTCGTGGTAGCTAACGATGAACGCCTGGTTTGAGATTAAGTTGTAATGTAAGCACGAGACGTGACACGACCCTGCTCTGTCTCTGGAACACGCGTCCGACATCACGTGTAAGCGATTTATTGTGCTTAACGTGTCATCGTTTCTGTTGCTGTTCTCATCAGTTTATTCTTCTCATAGATGCTAACGCTGCACATTTCTCGCCGGCTGCTGCATGCACGATCGTCCTTTGAAGCCGTGCGGTCATAAAGTGCCATGAATAATTTTTACTCGTAATCGTTATTTCAGAAATTTGCGATAATCGAAAACTTCGACCTTGTTGATTTTATGGGAGATGATTTACGGTACAAAATTTCAGCAGTGGAGTGCTGTTAAACCACTAAGATAGACTATATATTCGACACTCCTTTTACTCGTCTAATAATAGCGATTGATGCAGTGGTATGGCGGTTTGGATAAAATATATGTATCAGTATCGGGTTTTAAATTATCTCGCTTATCCATGACAACACTAATATTAATGTGTTGAATGATGAGAAATGTTAACCATCTTTCCACTTTGCCAGTGGCTTGAGTTCATTCCTGTCGCGCTCGAGTCTAAAGTAATAAAACTTCTTTTATTTCAGTTGAGCACGGTGGACGGCGTACAGAGCGGCGTGCCGACACTCACGACGCCCACCCTGACCCCCACAACCCTACGCAACATCCAACAAACGTTCCTGCAGGCGTCTGCCAACGTCGACACACAGCCTCCTGAGACGCACTCCAATCAAGCGGGCTTCGTACCTCCTGTTGTTCACCCGCAGCCTGGTCAGTGTCAGCGCTGTGTCGCCCTTGGATCGCAATTTCTTATCTCTAGAATTAGTTTCGTTTATGATGGTTCAATTGTTTCAAATGTATATATACTTAACGAAACTCATTGAAGGATAGTCAAATGCCACCACCGTGTTTTTTCTCCCGGTAGGCACTTTTTTTCAATTCTCCGATTAGGTTTGATCCTTTTTCAACTCAAAGATTTTAACTTTCAATCTAATCTTTTATTAAAGTTAAACCTATTATCTCACTGTTTACAAGTTACGTAATATTTTAGACGTTGCAATCTAAAAAGGTCATATATATTTTTTAATAAATCGGGTCTAATTAGATATACCAGCAATAATGAGCGGAAAAATGGTGAGACACCAGGTTGCAGCGTGAGGTAATGTATACGGCAGGCTGGCTCCGTGGTTACACTTCAGAGTAACCAAGATTGGCGCAGCGAGGTGCGGGTTCGATCCCAGCTCTGTGCGCCAGTTTCTGGTCAGAATCGGCGAGGAGGCCTGGCGGTTAAGCACAGCAGAATTTGAGTAGAGAGCTGCGCAATCGAGACCGCAACAAGCTGTGAATGTTCTGCGAAGTTGAGAATCTGCTACAGTTCTAACGGCATAATCAACGCTGAAACGGCTATTATATATATTATATGATGGAGCAAATTCCCATGTATTATTCATTTTCATTACTTACGTATGTCGGTTGTGCAGGTAGCACATTCATCTCGGTGCACAACAGCAAGAGTCTGGGTGGCGGCATCGCGACTGTCGTGGACACGTCCAGTTCTCGTAACGACTTTAAAGAGACCTCGACTTGTGGCCCTCCTCCCTTACTGCCCATCACTGGCATCCTGAGTGTTAGCGCTGCCAGCAGTACCAACAGTAACGCCTGCTCCATGCCTAGCGTCGCTGCCCTCAACGTCAGCAGCAGTGCCAGTAGCAACAGTTCTGACTCTGGCAACGAGCAGCCGCCACAACACTCGTCCAACAGGAGGATGGGAGGACGTCGGCCCAACAACACTGCCAAGGTAAGAGTCTGCTGCGTGAGCGCATACCTCCCGATGTATGGGTCCTCGAGCGCTCTCTGCGCTAGCATGGTGGCTTGTTGAGTGCACGCCTGCATCTCCAGCACGCCTTTTTCTGCACGCCTGCATCTCCAGCACGCTATTTCCTGCAAGCCAGCACCACCAGTAGCCGTGCTGACTTGTTGGGTGACTCCTTGCGCGCTGAATCCAGCTGCCTGCTGGTTGTATGAAGTAGTGGTGAATCCACCGCGCCGCAAGCCAGCATGATCATTGCTGTTGTAGCAATGACCAAGTCTTTCCATAAAGCGAAGGAAACCCGATAATAATTTTCGAGACATCGTGGTAAAAGCCAAACAGAGTTAAATTATTGGTTACCTTGTTTTTCGGAATTCGATTGATTTGTTTTATCACTTGAGCAAGCTAGTGTACAAATTTAAGTTCTATATTATTGTTGGGAAATTTCTCTAGTTAAAATAGTGTTCTATTTCTAACATCATTGTGAGAATTAAATCTTAAGTTATTCCATCATTTTGTGCGATTTTTTTAATTGCTTGAACAATTTTTCCTGCTTAAGATTCGTTCTATCTGGTATTGTTCTCAATTTAAAAATTTCAATCGGGGAATTGAAACATTCGTTTATCTGCAACTTCTTTTACCACCTGTCAAGGTAAAAGTAATGACCTGTCATGACGCAATTAAGCGTCACACACCAGCTGCCTGATGGCACTGGCACAACGCATGTTCCTTCAAAATGATCCTCATCAAATTGATTTTTTCCTCATCAAGATCTATCATCAAGTTCTGCTAAGCGTTTTCGCTCAAAGACAACTTTTATTGCTTTCGTCTTGGAAAAAATTATAATTTAAAAATTTTCAAGAGTGGCTCCGGAGATGTCAGCTACGTTGTTTTCAGTTACCTGCGGATGTTTATGTTGTCTTTTCATTACAATTTCTGGTAATTAACGATAGTTGTATGGAATATAATATATTTTATTTAATGAACAATTTTTGCGTTTTTTATCAATTTCGTTCGTGACGTCGTTCTTATCGAAAGTAGTAGATGATATTGTATCTGATCGAGATGCCAAGTGTCTAACTTTGAAAGGTCAACTGCAGTTCATTCGGGTATTCTGAGTTATGAATTTATGTATTCCATATCTTTATTAATGCCTTAAATAGTAACTGAAGTAACGTAATGAATTTTTTCATTTACAGTTGTCTGAAGAAGAGGAGCAGAAGCGACTAGTCCGTCGTGAGCGCAACAAGATGGCGGCGGCGCGATGTCGCAAGCGTCGCCTCGACCAGACGATGACGCTACAGGAAGAGACCGACCGTCTTGAGGAAAAGAAATCTTCCCTGCAGATCGAGATTGAGCAGCTGCAGACCCAGCGTGACGAGCTGCAGTTCCTACTAGCGACGCACAAGCCTGTCTGCACGCGATCGTCTCGTCTCAACAACAACGTCAACGTTGTCGTCACGTCGGCTGGACGTGTGCTGGCCTCGTCAGTGGCGTCTACTCGACCCGCGGTCGTGACGTGCAGCGCCCCTAACGCAGCACATCTACCTGGAGCGCTCGTCTCAGATTCGGACTCGGAGATTTGTGTTAAGGAAGAAACCCTTAGCGACTCTGAAGAGCAGTACACCAACTCATTGTTTAACTCAATCATTCCTCGAGGCAAAGCCAGTGTGCCTGTCACTCATACTGATGTTCCTACAACGAAATTTTCCGACGAGATGGTCGTGTCTAAGCCACACCGACCCACCAGCCTTGCCGTGGCACCGCTCACCGAGCTTGGCGTGTCTATCGAGACACCGTCCGCTGGCTTACGAGGTTTCAATTTCGACTCAATGATGGAAGGAGGCACGGGGCTCACTCCTGTGACGCCGCTTACAGTGAGCAGCCTGGCCACCGGTCTCACGCCTCTCACCACGCCTATTATGCCCCACCCTTCCGCCTCATCCAGCTTGGGCTCCTCTAAAAACACAACTCAATTCGCAACGCAACAGCAACCTTCCAGTTCCTCGGAGCTCGCTTCCCCAGACTCGCTCACAGCCAAGCAGCTGGTGTCTCTGTAACCCAAACTATTTACCCCGATGATGCAAGCATTAAGATTAACTGTCTACCTGCAAATCAGGCGCCTGTTGCACCATCTGCCATGTGTGCTAAAAGTTGTCTTTCGCCATTTGATGGTTATTCGTCAGCCTTGATGTCGCTTACTACAGCAGCCTTACCGCATGCCAGTTTTTTTATAAACATTGTCATAACAAATTTATTTAGATGTGCGGAATGAGATCGTATTCATCTACGTAAGGCTGGACCAAGCGTTAATATTTCGAAAGTTTGCTTCGTTTGTGACAAGTATTAGCAATGTGGTAGCACCAAAGAGCATAGTAGACTTAGCCAGTATATTCACGAATGTGCTTTGTATCTAATTAGCTGCTTACCGCAGTACTTGCTTCGCTTGTTTCGTCTAAGTTCTATTGAATTTATAGCAGTTGACTCGTAGCGATCATGCGCGAACTAAAACAAAGCATATAATTTAGTTACCACTATCCTTGGTACCAAGGATAGTGGTGTCTAAATAGGAGCATTTCGGTTTTCCGAGATGCAGGATTCCGCAACGCACAGTGCTGTTGCACTGGCGAGAGTAAACATTATATTGTAAAAATTGTTACTAGCACTTCTTGCGTAGGATGTCTATGCCTTTACTATTTACTAACTGCTTGTGTCTTTCTTCACTAGCACTTGTAAAATTGTTATGAATTTCTTGAGTGATTGTGCTACAGCCTTTGTTATGTTATTTGTTGACTTTTCTCACAGGACTGCTGACTATAGCCTAATGGAAATGGATCTTTGCAAGTGCTACCCATTTATCATTTTTATTAATTATTACATATTAATGGAGTTTATCCGATATAAATTATTCTATACGTCGATTTCGTTTCATTCTCCAAATGAATTGCTTATGCGTCACTTGAGCGAGTACAACGCGAGGTGAAGTCACTCGTGCAGGTTCCTTGCCTTGTTTTCGCGCTGTGTTGACAACATGCGAACGATCTCACACAAGGAAGCGATCTCTTAATATATGAGAGACCCGTGTCCTTAGTAATTAAGCCCGCGGCATGTGGCTCTCGGCTAAAGAATGGTGCAATGTAGGGTCTTTGTTCACTAGCCACCATTTACTCATTTCGCGATGAATGCCACACGCCGCACACAAAAACAACAGTAGAATTAGGGCACCTCGCGCCTTCTCTAACGCGTTTACATGCTCTTTGGATTCAAATGAAATATCGCCTTCTGGAGGCTTTGCGCGGGACTGCATGTCTCATATTACTAAAGTCGCCAGCTCTGTCTCGCGCGGGCGGCCTTCGTGCCACGTACAATTGCGATAAATTATTTTAGATTGAGGAAATTTGTGGTGACCGACTGACCGCTACTTATTTTAGGAATTCCGGTACCATACAGACTGGTATGTTTAGGTGATATGCTCATAAGTAAATACACTATAACACTAATATGTTACCACAAACCAATGTCTGAAAGGGAAAAGTTGAAACTGGAGTGCATCTTCATAAAATATAAATATTTTAGGGTTACACCATTACCAAAGTCCACTCCGGCTACAACAGGTACGCTGATAATCGTGTTAGTGTTTCAGGAAATGATACCGCATAACGCACTTCATAAGTTCACTTCAATTCTAGATGATAAAGAATTACAAGCCAGATCCAAGCAGGCTCTATTAACTCGTCTTCACGCTTCTCCCTTGCGGTGCAAAAATCGCTACAAAAACAGACTCAGGCCCGACACGTCATTTAACTGATCGGTTCTTGCGCACGCATTGCGAAGTTGCATCAAGTTACGTCACCATCACAAAATAAATTACGACGTTAATAAAGACGGTTCGAGCTTATAAAAAAAGCCATAATAGTCTATACACGAGTAAAAACAAGCACGTTTTGTTCGCAACGTTTCATGATTTTAATAGGATATATTATTTTTCTAAAATTACTGAATAATTTCAATGTCAGTCCTGAATTGGTAGCACCTTGATAAATATGTTGGTTCAATATAATATGGAATTACTCATACTAATTTTTTGGAAATTTTTTTTAAATTCTTATACTTTTTTTAACTTTGATGAAATTTAGAATTAGAGTAATTTGAGAACATCGATGCCGCGATAGACTAGTACCCTCGTGTTCAAATTGACGACATTAAAATTTGCTTGGATTCGAGTTCAACAGTCACGCAGTCAGCTCGGAGTTCTCGCCACATGTGTAGCGTACTGATCTACATGCAAGATGAGTAAGTAACTTCCAAATGAACTCCGGTGTCTATATTTTCTGTTTTATGTTGGATTCCTTTGATATATTGCTTATCTGCAATTGTTGTTAGGAATTGGCCTTGTAAGTTAGAGGTGAAACCTTCGTACAGACTTGGATCTTGATTGGAAGATATTTTTAGTGTGCGCCAACGGTAGTTACTAAGTTAGTGCTCGGTAATATGAGGTTAATTAATTGGTGCGTGCCAACCATTACTTAATAGCTAGACTATGAAATTAGTTGTGTGCTATAGGGTCGTGGAAAGTCTCTGCTTTTTTCGTGTAAGAAGTAGAGATGTTGAAAATCTCGAAATCATGGCATGACTTGTCTCCTAGCACAATTACCTACCTACATAGCAAATTACTTACAAAGAGTATTAGGCTCTTGTTTGTGAATAAGCTCGGCATTTTCGACTAGATTCGTAGGACGTAGAGCAGGGCGAAGCTTTATTACCTACACGACTCTATACATTAATTTCATACAGGCTATGATTGAATAAAAAATATTCTTGTTCCCCTTGGATTATTTGAGTCTTCTGAACCTTTTCTACAAATAAACTACCATGTCTTTGTCGGACGAGAAGTTTATATCGTGGCAATCTTGTTGAGTTCTATCAGGTAGTATGCTATTACTATTTTACAATTGGCCTTCAGATTGTCAAGTCCCAAATGATGGTATACCTACTATCACCCGTTCAGGTTGGAATTTCATCCATAAACCAAGATTTATTCTTTGAGGGTGTTCTGTTGTTCGATATTTCAATGCATGATATAAGTAACCATTATACTCTTTATCTATTGAGACTTACTTCAATGGGTAAACGTAGAAGTAATGGCTTCGCGAATGAAGATATTTAGAATTTCTGCTTTTTAAACTTAAAAGAAACTATAAATGTTCTGCAAACGGTTCTCACAATTTACTGTCAACTCTGCTACTGTGTACATTGTCCTAACCTACAGTGGTTATTCGGGCCAAGAGATGTACCCTATATAAATTTTAAGCATTCTTATCGCTTGCCACCTACGATAGCGGCCAATTGCTCATTACTTCAGTTTCGTTTGACTTGTTCTTTTATTCTAGTTAGTTTTTACAACAAAGACTGCAATACGTGTTCTGAAGTTAGGCGTCTCGCACCATCACATTTGATTTCGTTCCCTAACCGTTGAGCATGAAGATTCTCCTACATAGGAATCCACTAGATTAGTTGATTTCTTGAATGCTGCGATCAAGAAACTCCTTTCTTCTGATAAAGTTTTTAAAGTAAATTCAATGCTCCTGATGTTAACAGAGATGTTAACTTTTGCGATTGTTACGCAGTTTACAAGTAATCTATTTTGATATGGAAGAAATATCGGGGTATATGCATTGGTTCTTCTTTCTTCCTATTGAATAAAATAACTTTGGAAAAGTAGGCTTCAGTTATCCGACTGCTCCTTCAAAATTTTATTAACATACCTTATACAAACAAATACCTGTCGTTCATAAAAATTAGTACCTTATATTTCTTAGTTCGCTGATAAAGAATCGCATACGAATCATATCGATGGATCGTAGTTGGAAAGCCGTCTATGTGAGCAGTCTATTTTGTACGTAAGGCAACTACAGATATTCGAGATTTTTACGGACTAACGCCGAGAATCTTCTGTAATTGAAAATAACTGGCGGAACGACAAAAGTATACAGGCTAAAAACCTGTAGTCATTTCTCTTATTCTATCCTACAACAATTTAACGTTAGTCTTGACAATTGTATCCATCTATAAACTTTCGACAATGTCTACGTAGCCTTAGATTTGCGTCTAGAGTTTTTGGTTTGTCGCCCAGACCGTAAATATTTGGCAGTTCTTCCAGCTTGCATCCACAATGCGATGCTCATGAACACATTTTACACTAACTGAAATTTGGTCTCTACTCGTGCAATCTTGAGGTATTGCAACATTGGTATGCATTACGGAATGGACTGAATAATTTTCAATTCATTAGAATTCAGAATCGAATAATATAATCAACCAATATTTCATTATAAAATGTCCAACGGATGGTTCATGATGGTGCAGTGTTAATCAAATGTTTGAATGGTTTTTATCTAGTTAATCTAATTGCAGATAAACTTGAGTTATTTGAGTAATTATTAAAATCACTTGGCTGCTGAAGTCGCAAATTTACCAGGAATTTAAAAGTAAAGAAAATAGCCAAAATTTCACCATTATTTGAGTAATTAAATGGGAATATGGATTCGCACATAATATACCTGCCAGATCAGTAAATTTGGAGAGTAAATCACTACGCTCGTATCTATGTGTCGTCACGCACTTCCTCTTCTATCTTAGACATTCATCATAGACGCAAGTTCTTTTGCTTGAGTTTTCAGCAACTGTTTAAATTTAAACAAGCCAACATTTACTTTAGTCTAGATTAACGTGATGCACACTATCAGCCTTGGGAGCTGATAGTGTGCAGTTATTTGAATTAGTCGGGTTTGCGTTGATCTCGAATTAATTAGAATAGTCATTCTTTATTGTACTATGTCAGTATGTGCTCAACACCATGCTGTTTGTTTGCAGCTATTTGAAATTTATTTTCGGTTACTGGAGTGAATACTCACTACTTAGCGCTTCGAGATGTCTAAATCATATGGATATTTGGATGGACGCAAGAACATGTGATAAGTACGTTCGATGCTGCTCAAGAATCGCAATTGCCCACTCCTAACGTGAATGCTACTATCTCGAGCTGAATGATATTCACGTTAGTTAGCTATTTGATTTAAATTCCGGATACGTTCGGCAGAATATTGTATGATATATGTACGAAAAAATTATATTGAATACTTATGGCAGGATATTTCATTCGTGTGGCGGCAGGATAAGGCATTGGCTTCGTGAGGCGGCAGGATGTGGTATTGGCTTCGTGTGGCGGCAGGATGTGGTATTGGCTTCGTGTGGCGGCAGGATGTGGTATTGGCTTCGTGTGGCTGCAGGATATATGGGATACGTATATGGTCAGGTATGATAGAGGTAACGAATGGTTGGAATGGTGCAGGAAACGAATAAGAATGAAACAGGTTACAAACAGGGCATAGTAAGGGATATGATTATAAAGGCTCAAAATTCTTGAAAAATAACTTTCTTAGATTTGTCGTCTTTTTCTAATTGTGATTCATTATGAATAAATTGATGTAAATTCTGATTTGATGAATCATTTTCTAAACTTCTTCTTCAGAAACTAATCTGGTGCTGACGCTCGTCTTCCTGCAAGTGGTATGTGGTCAAGAGTCCGTCCTGCCTGAAACGGCAGGACAACAACTCCCAAAGCTACCAGGAATTGTTGCCCACGATGTTGACATCCTCCGTGAACTTGATCCCCTTGCTGAAAAACTTTCCTTTGACCTCAACAGTCCCATAGAAGTTCCTCAGATTCCGCACGCAGATTTTCAATCGGCAGATGTGAGAGGAAAGAACGATGCGATCTCCAATGAACCGCAAACCGAAGAACAGTCACTTGAAGTAGATCGGACCATAGACAATAGTTCGGATGAAACGTCCGCCGATTCTCAGACCACTGAAAATACTAGAATTGATAACGCGCCACCAACGACCACTGAAAATAATAAGATCGATGAGGCGCTCGCCGATTCCCAATCCACTGAAACTACTACAACTGAGATGTCTACCGATTTACAATCTACAGAAAATACTAAGACAACTGAAGATTTCGCCGATTTACGACCAACTGATAGAACAAGCGATGAAACATCAGCCGATTCGCAACAGACTGACAATACAACTGGTGAGTCTGCCGATTCACAGTCAACTGAAAATATCACAACTGATGGAACGTCCGTCGATTCCCAACAGACTGAACATGCCACAACTGATGAAACGTCCGTCGATTCCCAACAGACTGAACATGGCACGACTAATGAAACGTCCGTCGATTCCCAACAGACTGAACATGCCACAACTGATGAAACGTCCGTCAATTCCCAATTGACTGAAAATGCCAAAAGCGATGAAGCGTCAGCCGATTCACATGAGACTGGAATTACTAAAACTGATGAAACCTCCGCTGATTCACAACCAACTGTGGATACTTCAACTGATGAAGTATCAGCCTATTCACAGCCCTCGCAAAATGCTGAAACTGATGAAACGTCCGTCGATTCTGATTCTGCTAAACCTGTTGAAAAGGATGAGGAATCTGATGAATCAAGTGACACTGATAAGGATTCCGACGAATCTGATGAATCTAGTGAAACTGATGAGGATTCCGATGAATTTAGGGAAGCTGATGAGGATTCCGATGAATCTGATGAATCTAATGAAACGGATGAGGATTCTGGTGAATCTATTGAAGCGGATGACGAGGGTTCTGATGAAGTGTCCACCGACTTGAAGTTAGTTAGAACTAAGAAAACTAATGATGGCTTTGGGGGGTCAAATGTAGACCGAACGTCGGATGAATCTGAGGGAAGAAATGGCGAGGGTTCCGAAAAATATCATGTCGATTTATTTTCGGAAGAAATGAAACGTAAAGATCCTAACGATTTAGTCCTGCAATTGGTCGATCCGCCTTCTGATGATTAGGAAAATTTCTTTCAGCCAAGTCATCAACAGCAGGGCATTTGTGAGTATGATTGCACCACTTCTCATAGATGCGTTTTTGGAAGTTATTGCAGAAGTTATGACATAATTGTACTTAATTGCCTATGAGAGACCGTCTTTCTGATGGTCAGTAGTATTACTCGACTCTCAAGGCGAGTGGCGACATTGTGTTGGCGATATGCACATTCGAGAAAGATATGATCATCACTAAACCTTCGCGAAAAAATTAGATAACAAATTATCAACCCATACATTTGCTGCACTTTACTTCAGCCCCATGAAATATTGTTGATTTTAATCTACTCATTATCACTGCTGAAATAAGAAATGATGATTTTGGCATTGATCTGGGTTTCTCATATGATTTCAATAGCCGGAATCTTACAAGCTCTTTATATGAAATTGTGCAATGCACTTTGATATCTTAGAGTTCATAGCCCCTCATTACGTAAAGTTTAATAAAAAATTGTTTGTTGCACTCAGCAACGGCGGGGGATGCCCACGCGTTATCAAAAGGACCCAAACAACATCTGATGCCGCATCAATTGTTCGTGACGAGCATTGAAGCGTCAGCACCAGCAGATTGTTGCTGAAGGAAGTTGCGGCGGACTGGAATGCTTGTAAATTGAAGCTTTTCTACACCTTGATACGTTCAAAAACAAATTGTAGTAAAGATCGGCACCAAATAACTGATAACGTTCTACGCAACACGTTATCGTATCCTCTCCATTTGCTACAATGCTTGCGGTAATTTTATTCGTTCTGAAGTTTTAAATTTATGTAGAATAAACGCCATATTTTAAGGTCGCAGGCATTTGATAATAAATGAAGCTGTGCGCATTTATTAATAAATATAGCTTTTGATTTTCACTTTTTTTCGACCTTTTTTCAGAACTATGGTAGTCTTCCTCTCATGATTATATATCAATCTTGAACAGTTGAATGTGTTGAGGAAAGCTTAACTGTTCACTATTTTCATAGTTTTTAATCACACTCGCCCCTCTCGAACGAAGTCTCCACAGCTTGTTGGAATTCGGCATTCCATTCGACCATGATTTCCAGCATAGAATAACCTTACCTTCTTGAGGCGTCCTGTTAATTAGCCGAATATACGTAGAATGTACGTGAAGGAAATGTTGTTTATAGACTTATAGTAATAAGGTATCCACTATTAAATCGTTCAGAAGATTATTCGCCACTAGCGCAGAGTTCTATAGAGAACTATACACTTATTTTCTAGTCTCGTCAAACTACAGCGGATGCCTTTGTGCATGCAGGTCGAGAGCCTTCTTGCGTCCTGAAACAGTCGGAATACAGACATGTTAACGTCATTTACAGCAACTGTCATATGTGCTGCTTTAGTCCTTGAACCAGCTTTGGCAGCTTCAATCCTTACCGCAGGATGCAGCTAGCGCTGAAAAAGTATTACTGTTACCAGTATCACCGTGAATGGACTCTAAAAAGTCCCTTATTTTGAGGTAACTTCTATTAGGAACGTTTGCTTCTACATATATCCTCGAGTATTGCTCCTGCATACGGGAAGATACAAGAGCCTGCATCCTAACTCGAAAGTCGATAGTTTGACATGGTTACGGTCTTACTAACTGAAGGCCAAAGCCTTTCACTTCGATTAAGTGCCAATATCGGTCTTTAAAATTAGGACAGGACATAATTCTTATCAAAACATTCCCCTGGAGAAGAAATTGTTCATGCGATGGGCGCCAGCATGGCTGTGCAACTCGAAGCGAGCCTCCTTGGATGTAGCTCTAGTAACTAGTTCTACTTACAATGACATATGTCTCTGGCCGAGGAGAGAGGGTCCCGAACGTAAATCAGGAGCCTTTCGCCCAGCCCTGCCTTCACTATTCTGAGGCATAGGCGAGGTTCATTATTACTTCACACTTCACGCTTTATTTGTCACCATTTACACGTTCAGCGAATTTTCTTTCATCAATTGCTTGAAAATGAAAGAGCACGAAAAAAAAGTTTAATATGGTGATCCTCGAATTGAAATTTTATTCTTGAAAATCCCTGAATGGCCGTATTTGACCGCTTTTCATTCTCTAAAACATGGGATAACCTGCATTTCAATTACATGGAGATTTTTATACTAAAAAATAAGCGTGAGTCTTTTAATCATTAAATATCCGATTATGCAGGTATGCAGGAGTCGCATGTTGACTTAAATTTTCAAGTATCTTGTACTAAATTCACTTCAGCGTTGTAGCCGAGACTGCAACACACGAGAGAGAAATGTATAAGTTGACCTCGTGAACCTTAATTAATCCATCCCGCGGCGTCATGGTCGTCATCCTACATACGTGTGCTGCTCGAGCCTCCAACATCGACGTTTCATCGCAGCCACTAGAGTAGCTCAGCCAAACATTTAAAGTTAATTATTGACAATTCGAAGCATTGTGCCAATTAAATTTGCAATTAGGACCAAAATCAGTGACCAACATTCAAGCTAAGAATCAATGATAAGAAGCGATGAGACTCGCTCGACGATGGTATGAACCAAACGAATCAAAAACAGATGACTCGTGCGTTGTTTTGAAGAAATCAGTTACCTTCGATGTGCACCTGTTTAAGGTTGCCCCTAACCACTCGTGCATGAGAGAACCCATGGTATAAACGCACCACTATCATTTATATTGTGGGAATTGAGGGGCTGTAAAGCGGGCTTTTTAATATTCCGCTATCTAGGTACCAGTGACGAATTTAGATTCTGAACCAACTTATGACTAGGAACTTTTAATGGCTATCAAAGTCAAGATAAAATGATAAGAGACTGCAAACCCTACTCCACTGTCAGTAAGTCTCAAGGCGTTGTTCGAGGCTATCTTCTGTGTCGTAATTTGTTTATCATTATGAGTGAGTAAAAATAATTTTCCAGACATGCTACTTTTAGGTTACTTTTTATTTTGTCTCAAATAAATAGGAATTCAGGATTTAATGACTACAAATTATATTCTAGACTACCTATATGCTGTTATCACAGAGCACTTGACGCTGGTGCTGCTCGCCTGCGTACTGACGCTGTGCTCGGGAGGGTTGGCTCTGCCCTCTCTTGCGAGCAGAGAACTGCAGGAAGTTCCAGACTCTTCTCTCGCAGCGCCAACCAACCAACGCAGCGCGTCACTGCAGGATGCAGCCTTACACGAAAACGTCGTCGACTCCATGGACGATCAAAAAGCAGTCGACTCGGACCTCCAAGAGACCAATGTCAACCTGAACTCTGATTTTGACGCACGATGCATCTGTAAGTTAACCATTTAGTTAGTAAGACTCTCAGGGAAATTGAAACTACGAAACTTAGTAATGGCCTTTTTGTTTATAAACGATACTCTTTTTAATGGATAGCGGACCCAAAAACATGTGCCTACTGAAATCACTGGTTAAGCAGACATGGTCGTTGGATTGAATACATTTGACGCTATTAAGGTCATAGAAATACTGGTGGACGACAGACCAGGTCAGCCTTTTTATTTATGTTTGTAATTTTTGTACGCATTGCAGTTTGTGGAGGTGGCGGTTGCCCCGATTGCTACCAACCTGACCCTAACGGGGTGTGCCGCCCCATCGTCGGATGTGTGCCATGAAGTATTTCCTCAGCAACGGTTAAATACAACTCTGATTTTTTCACTTCTTTTTCTCCGCGATTTTAGAAATCAATATTAAAAGCATTGTCCCGTAAATGATTTTTAAAGTAAATTTCCCCCATGTAAACGGAAATTTTCCTCCTCAATATGACATTTTTTTTAGTGTCACACGTAATACGAAATATACATCTCTCTAACCTATTATTTTAAAGTCCTTATAAGACAGTCTAGTTGTTTTGATTATGGGATTCTCAATTTTTATTTTTTTTTATAAAATCTACGGAATTCCATGAAGTCAATGTAAATTAACTTGAGAAAGTAATGACTGAATCAGTGAACTTCTAAAAAATATTATATAGTTTACTCACAAATAAGATGTGAATTACAGCTTATGAATGGAAGCGAAAGATGTGATTTTTCTCAAATTTGATGACGGAGTTGTCTACTGATTTACATTAAAATTTTTCGACAATTTGAGGAGTTTTTAATCGTTACAAAATTGAAATACGCTTCACGAAAACAACTTCTCGGACGACTTGTATTCAGTGCTCAACGCAAAGTTGAGTTGCAGCCTGGCTAATTTAAACTTTGTTGATAAAAAAACGAATATTAACGTTTATAAACGTGGTTTTTAAAAATCATTTTTAAAAACCACGTTTTTCTGTTTTTTACAAAACTAAAAATAATAAAATAAAACAAATAAAAAAACTTAAAAACACGTTTTCTTAACAGACAAAAAATAAAAACATTTACTCTTACATAACGTTTAAGTTATGTAAAATGTTATGTAATGTTATGTAAGAGTAAATGGTTTTTCTTTTTTGTCCGTTAAGAAAACGTGGTTTTAAACGTTTTTTTTTTATTTGTTTTAATTCACTATTTTTAGTTTTGTAAAAACCTGAAAAACGTTGTTTTTAAAACTGATTTTTATATTTATCTAGTTTCTACTTTTTAATTTAGCAATTTTAACAATTCAAATCAATTTCCAGGGTGGCAAGTCTGGATGTTCGAGAAAAAAACTCGATTCCGAACCGTGAATTTTTAGTTTTTTTTTTTCTAAAAAATTTATTTTCCTTATTATTATTATTTCTGATGATCAAATCTTGAATTGTTAGGCAGCATAAGCATGCATGCCCAATTTCAAGTTTCTAGGATCTTCAGAAGTGCTCTAAATCAAGGTCTGAATTTTTGAGGACAACAGACAGCCACGAAACGAAGCTAAGAAAAACGTGGTAAAAAATTAATAAAGCCCAGGTACTTCTTAAGGACTTCATTGCTCATCGAGAGGTCAAGCAGTTGCCTCTAAAGGCGCTCTTCAACTCATATGCATATAAATTGGAACTTTTATATCAAACTATTTTTGGTTTTAGTAACAAAAAATAATTCCATATTGAATTTTTGTAGGGAGAGGCTCTAGTGAGCCTATTAAATTTTTAATCTTTAATTTTTCATGTATCAATTTTTTTTATTTTACTGACCTTGACTTGACTGTTTAACGGAAGATTGGAAAGATATTTTTAAATTTGGAGAGTTGTGAAAAGCAAAGACAGACATCTTTAGGGTAAACTTATGATGCCAAGATGTGTAAAAATATTATAACAATTAATCTCAAAATTACTCGATAAGACGAGTTTTCAACCAGATGTCACAATGTTAGTCATTTAACGCGAAGGAAAAATTCGGCAATCATAAATAAATCGTAAAGCAATTATGTACATGCAAACTCCAGGGCTATAACAACTCATTTATAATATAACGAGATACTGCTGCGGGCAACTTTTCTCGCGGCTAATAAACTTGTTAGTCGTTGCATCTGCAATCCGATTTATCATCTTGTAGCAGGCCAAGGTTGCGCTGACAATCGTCATGGTTTGTTAATGAATAACTCGCTGCTCCAATTTTGCACCTTCTTAACCACCCGGTCACATCGCTTGTTTAAACGACAAATTTTTCTAGTTTAAGTTCCTCGAACCCATAAATCGTTGCTCGAGTCTCGGTGATCGCACTCGGCCACCAAGCCTTTTTTCAGCTAAATTTTTATCTATATTTATTATAATGGGAAGCCTGCCGAAGACCACCACTGCCCTGGATGTAATGGACTATCATGACTCCTGCCCTCCGGAACGTAGCCTTCAACACTTCTGGAAAATCATATAGGCAGCCGAAAGCCACCAGACAGAACGAATCAATTGAATTAGACCAATCAGCCCTCAGGAGAAACAGCCGGCGATAATATGAGTTTACATTTATTTTCATTTCCGC